AGCGGGGGCTCACCAGGGGGCGCCGGGCTGCAGGGAGCAGGGGCTCACTAGGGGGCGCCGGGCTGCAGGAAGCGGGGGCTCACTAGGGGGCGCCGGGCTGCAGGGAGCGGGGGCTCACTAGGGGGCGCCGGGCTGCAGGGAGCAGGGGCTCACTAGGGGGCGCTGGGCTGCAGGGAGCAGGGGCTCACTAGGGGGTGCCGGGCTGCAGGGAGCAGGGGCTCATTAGGGGGTGCTGGGCTGCAGGGAGCAGGGGCTCACCAGAGGGCGCCGGGCTGCAGGAAGCGGGGGCTCACCAGGGGGCGCCGGGCTACAGGGAGCAGGGGCTCATTAGGGGGCGCTGGGCTGCAGGGAGCCGGGCGGGGGCTCACCAGGGGGCGCTGGGCTGCGAGGAGTGGGGAGAGGACAGGGGGCGCCGGGCTGGAGGGGGACAGGGGGCACAGTGCTGGTGGGGAGGGACAGGGGGCGCTGAGCTGCGGGGGGGGCAACAGGGAGCGCCCTCTCTCAGCTGCTCCCCTTCTCTCCCAGGCCAGAGCCGCCAAGCCCCCGGAGGGCACCCAGGCCGTGGGGCCGGAGGAGCGGGAGGTGCCCCCTAGGGGCCGGAGGAGCGTGCCACGGCCCACCCTGAAGCTGGAGGAGGAAGACGACGAGGAGGAGGAAGAGGAGGAGGAGGAAGAGGAGGAGGACGAAGACGAGGAGGACGAAGAGGAGGAGGAAGCAAAGGCTCCGGAGGGGAAGGAGGCTTCCCGGAGGATGGGGGAAGCCTGGGCCCCAGGCCCTCAGGCGAGCAGCTCACCCCAGGAAATCAGGGGGTCCCGTCAGGAGAAGGGGGGGCTCATGGCCCCAGCACCCCAACAGACAGGAGTGCCCAGATCCCCAGCACCCCAGGAAGTGGAGGGGGGCAGATCTCTGGCACCCGAAGAAGTGGGGGGGCCTGAGGCCCAGGGAATGGGGGTCCCCAGATCACCAGGGCCCCAAGGAAGGGGGTCAGCCCAGGCCCTGGCACCCCAGGGCACAGAGGGGCCCAGAGCTCCGGAGCCCCAGGAAAGGGGGGTGACCAGGCCCTCGGAACCCCAGGGAAGTGGGACAGCTGTGACTCCAGCCCCCCAGGAGAAGGGGAAGCCCAGTCCACCGGCTCCCCAGGAGAAGGGGGAGCCCAGTCCACCTGCCCCCCAGGAGAAGGGGGAGCCCAGCCTGCCAGACGCCCAGGAAAAGGGAGAGCCCAGCCCAATGGCCCCCCAGAAAAAGGAGGAGCCCAGTCTGCCAGCGCCCCACGAGAAGGGGGAGCCCAGCCTGCCAGCCCCCCACAAGAAGGGGGAGTCCAGCCCGACGGCCCCTCACGAGAAGGGGGAGCCCAGCCTGCCAGCCCCCTACAAGAAGGGGAAGTCCAGCCCAACAGCCCCCCAGGCAAAGGGGGAGCCTAGCCTGCCAGCCCCCCACGAGAAGGGGGAGCCCAGCCCGCCAGCCCCCCAGGCAAAGGGGGAGCCCAGCCCGCCGGCCCACCAGGCAAAGGGGGAGCCCAGCCTGCCAGCCCCCCATGAGAAGGGGGAGGCCAGCCCGCCGGCCCACCAGGCAAAGGGGGAGCCCAGCCCGCCAGCCCCCCATGAGAAGGGGGAGCCCAGTCCGCCGGCCCCCCAGGCAAAGGGGGAGCCCCGCCTGCCGGCCCACCAGGAGAAGGGGCAGCCCAGCCCAACGGCTGCCCCTCTGGAGGATTCTCCGGAGAAGAAGGGAGCGGCTGGGCTCCAGGAAGACAAGGGGGCCCCCCAGGAGGAGGCAGAGGAGCCCCCTGAGATCTCACAGGAAGGGGGGCCGTCTGTCATCGCCAGCTCCCCAGCCCCTCCCCAGCTGTCAGAAGGGGAGGCACCGATGGCCCCCCCTGGGGAGGATGAGCCCCCTCCCCCACTGCTGACCAAGGAGGCCCCCCCCAGTCAGAAAAGGCCGCCGGGGACCCACCCAGCATCACCTTCCCCTCCCCCCCAGCGCCGGCGGAGGGGCGGGTCCGACTCAGACTCCGACTCAGACTCCACTTCCTCCGGATCCCGCTCCAGCCGCTCCGAGTCGCCCACCAGGAAGCGCCAGGCCTCGCGCTCCAGCAGCAGCAGCAGCAGAAAGGTGAGCCCCAAGCCACCTGCCCTGCTCTCTGTGTGATCTAGAACCCCACCCTATGCTAGAGGCATGTTCTGGAGGGCTAGGCCTGTTCCAGACCCAGTCTTGGTGTTCTAGATCCTCCCACCAGCTCCTGCTCGCTGTGCAATCTAGAACTCCACCCTGTGCCAGAGCCATGTTCTGGAGGGCTAGGCCTGTTCCAGACCCAGTCTTGGTGTTCTAGGTTGCAACCGCCTCTTATAGACCCAAAAGGTGCCCCGTCCCTCCATAATCTAGTTCTGGGCCCCATTCCTGCTCCCCTTCCTGGGGTGCTGGGCTCGCTTCAGGTGCAGATGGGCATTCTAGATTCTAGCCAAGCCCCAGACCCTGCAGGCCTCTGTTCCAGAATCCATGCAGATCCTGCCTCTGGCGCTGGCTATTAGTGACCATAACAGAGAAATTGAACATCGCGGGGGGGCGCCCCCCCAGTAGTATCTACATTCAGAAAGGGATTGATACCAATTGAGGCTGCTGGTGACCCAGAAATTCAGAGGACCAGGGTGAAATGCCTGCAAACTGCAGGGAGAGTCAGGGAGGCTCAAATTGCAGATATTCCCCCAAATTACAAATAGTCAGGGGAGGAGGCGGGGACAGGCCAAACGGGACTCAGAGAGGAGCTGACCCCCGGCAGGGCCACAGGAGCAGCTTTCAAGAGAGCCCCGGTGTCACAGCAGGAGTGGCTGGAAGTCCATCGGAAGCAGGGAGTCTGGCACGAAGGGAACCCAAGGCCATGGCAGAGACACGCTCTCGGCATCGCTCCTCGCTGCCCGGCCACGGGTCGATTCCCATCTCCCTTCCCAGCCGCTCTCTGGGGGTGACGGGGCTGAGGACGTGGCGCACAGTGATGAAAACCCGGCGTAATGCCCCAGGCCCAGGGCTCTGTGCTAGGGAACTGGCCTCGGCTGCCGAGCTGGGCCCCACGGGCTGCAGGAAGGGAAATCTGTCTCGCCAGGCTCTGGTGATCCCAAGGGGCAGCCCCTGGATCCATGTGCGGGGAGGGGCGGCAAGCCTGGGCCAAGCTCCCTCCCCAAGGGCTCGTAGCCCAGTGAGTGGGGGCAGGGGGAAGGGCTCTACTGGGTCAGGTGGCGCAACCTGGGAACCCCAATCCTGGCTCTGCCCGCGCAGCGCCGGGCCCATGCAAGAGATCTCGGAGCCGCGGCTCGCTCCCGGCAAACAGCCGCTTGCTCTGCGGCCGCCCTCGAGAAAGCTCCCAGCGCGTTAGGAGAGAGACCGAGATAGGAAATCTCACCCTGCCCCTGTCTGATCCCTGGTGCCCAGTGCCCACCCCTGGCCTGCCGCACGCAGAGCTGCCTCCCGGCTCCAAGAGCTCTAGGCACTGGGAGAAAGGCCAGACCCAGGCTGTGGGAGAGGCGGCAAAGCCTGGGCCTGCTCAGCGGGGAGAAGGGGCGACCGCTGGGCCACGGCAGGGCTGTAAACTCCTGGCTGGGGTGGAGACAGTGACTGGGGCACCCAAACCGGGGGGCTCATGCAGCAGGTTTCCAGCAGGCAGGATTTCCGTTAACCTGTGGATGGGCTGAGGCCAGAAGTAGAAGAGGGTTTGACACACAATGAGTCATGTTCCTGGAGGCCAGGTCCAGCGATGGCTATTAGCCAAGCTGGTTAGGGACGCAGCCCCCTGCGCCGGGTGGCCCCAAAGCTCAGGCTGCCAGGAGCTGGGTGGCTCGCTTAATGATTGCCCTTTTCTGGCCAGTCAGATGCAGGGTGCTGGGCAAGAGAGATCCAGTTCTTAGGTTCCAGGGCCTGTGATGTTCTAGACCCTGAGGACCCCCCCCCCACCTGCTCCCAATTCTGTTCAGACCCCATCCCTCTCCAAACCCTACACCCTGGTTCCAGATCCAGCTGGCAGTTCTAGATCCTGACCAAGGAGCCAGACTCCTGCTCCCCATCAGGTCCATACTCTAGATCTGGCTCTAGGTCTCCTCCCCCCGTTCCAGATCTCACCTGGGGGCAGGGGGCAGCTGGGGTCGATGCCTCACTAAAGCTCTGTCTGTTTATCTGGACGCCCCAGTCGCGCAGCCCTGACACCTCGCAGGCCGGCCCCAGCTCCCCACGCACCAAAGAGCCCTCCCCAGCAGGACAGCAGGAGGCGCCGGAGAGTCCCATGGCAGAGGGCAGACCGGCCCCCCAGAGACGCCCCAGCCACGGGCACTGGCACAGCCCGTTGTCACAGCAGGTATGAGAGGGGCACGGGGCGTGGAATGGGGTACCGGGCCGTGACCTATGGGGGGAAATGGGGCATGGGGCTTTTCCTCTCCAGGGAGCGCTGGCCCCGATTCGGCCCCAGGGCCAGATGGGGGACAGGCTGGGGGGCGGGAATGGGTCCCCTCTAACACAGGCCCCTCCACTGCCTCTCCCCACAGGGCGGCTCAGAGACCCCGGGGGGCCCAGCCAGGGCAGAGCCCACGGGGGACCC